ACCAGCAGCGCTAATAATGCAAGCCGGCCTTTTAATCCCGTACAACCAACATTGGCTAGCTGGACCTATAATTCCGGACGGAGGTAGTATGTGCTTCCTCGGAAGCCTGTTGAGGTCTTCACCCCCTCCTTGGGATGGCCACGCCGGATCTGGCTCATTTAATGGAGGGTGTGAGGATGCCACGACGCGTGTGGGGACTATTTTGTTGTCATTTATTGGTGTGTCACAATGTGCTTGGTGAGTTGAAGGTGAATTTGTTTGCTTGCTTCCCCGTTTAGTAATAGTCAGTGGGTAGAGTTCATGCCATTGGCCTATGGTTTTAGCCTGTTCCCCCTAAGTTACCCGAGCATTGTTATGGAGATGGAGTTTTTGTTCCCGGAAAGTCCCCTGAAACGCGAAAATAATGAAAATAAAATAAAATTATGAGTGTTCTGTTGAACCAGCGGGGCGGAGTAAAAGACATAGCATTCCCTCCCCGCGATCCACCGGCCGCCCGTGTAGTGTGGACATGCACATTCCTTGTCGTCCAAGTGGGATCCGATCAAAGGTGCACGTGCGTGCCGATGAACGCCACAGCGCGCGCGCGCGCACACACACCCACAGTGGTGCTAGCTAGCCTCAGCTTCAGCGCACGTCCCGCCATGCACGTCGCCGTCCGTCGGCTTTGGCCTTTAGTTGGTCGAAGCTTCGCGGCTAGCTGCACCGGTCGACCGCCCTCGCTTTGCCTGCGTGCCACGATATTCCCTCGTCTCTTCTTCCTTCGCACCCCGGCCAGGCCGGTTCACACACGTAAAAAAAGATGAAAAGAACGCATGTTGTGTAAAGCGCGGACATCCCATCGACGGAGCGTGAAAAGCGACCACTGTTTGCCGGCTAAATCTTTGCGTCCCGCGGATCTCGTTCACAAGAGACAGAGATCGTCCACGCGCGTGCTCGATTCGGCACGCTCGGCCCAAGTGGACGTGCACTACACACGGCGGCGCCGCGCGTGTTTGCAGTGCACCGGCTGATCGGCGGTCGTGGAACCCTAGCTTGCTCGCGCCCGCGGCGAGCCCGACCGTGGCAGGCCACCGGCGCGCCACCAACAGCGACGCCACTCCGTAACGTAAGCCGGCGCAGGCGACCCGATTCAAACATCCTTTTTTTCCTTTTAGAGAGAGAGAGAGAGGAGGGGAGGGAGGTAGGAATCGGCTCAGCTGCCTCGAGTTAACGGCGCCATCGCCGGGGGCTCGCTGGTGCGGGCGGGCGGGCCCCGCGCCAACGACCCGTTCGCCAGTGGGCCGCCACCTCGGGCGCGACGCTTCGCGCAAACTGCGCGGGTCAGCCACGTTCCAGAAGGCGACCCCACACCCACCCTGACCGTCCGATCACCCGTCCTCTCCATCCAACGGTGGGCTGTCTCCCCGAGCACCCCCTTTGACTCGTCGCGGGTCTCCTATAAGTAGCCGCCTTCCCCGTCCGGCTCGAGAACTCTACTCCCCCTTCCTACTGCGGTCAGTGCTACTGCGTGCCATGGGCGACACCGGCGCGAACATGGGCCACTGGGCGGGCATCTACGGCGTCGGCGGCAATGGGGCCGCGGCGGCGGAGGGCAGCGTGGTGACGGTGTCGAGCCCGACGTCGGGGGGCTCGGGCGGCGGGAGCCCCACGAGGTCGGCGCCCGGGGTCGAGGGGGGCCGCGTCGGCAAGCCGGCGCGGCGGAGGTCCCGCGCCTCGCGGCGGGCGCCCGTCACGCTGCTCAACACCGACACCACCAACTTCCGCGCCATGGTGCAGCAGTTCACCGGCATCCCCTCCGGCCCCTACGGCCCGGCCGGCGCGGGCGGCGGGCCCGTGATCAGCTTCGGCGCGGGCGGTGGCGACTACGGCCTCGGCGGCGGCATGCCGGTGCGCCCGTCGCCGAGCTCGGCCGTGATGTCGTTCGACCACCTCGGCCACCACCGCCCGTCCGCCGCCACGTCGTCCCTGCAGCAGCAGCAGCATCAGCAGAGCCAGCTGTTCCGGCCGCAGCAGCAGCAACAGTACGCCGACTACGGCGGCGGCGGCGCGGACATGTCGTTCCTGCACGGGTTCGAGTCGTCGGCGGAGGACAGACTGCTGCTGCAGAGCATACAGGCGGCGCAGATGCTGCCCCGGCCGGCCTCCACTAACACCCCCAATGGCTACAACTTCGGATGATCCCCTCACCACTCCACCCCTATACCCCGTTGATCAATCAAGGTACACTTAATCAGAGAGCCAGCGAGAACAGCAAGCTTTGCTTTCTCCGCTCTGCGAAGACGACGACGTTGTTGCTGTTCCAAAGGTTAATTTTTGCTGGCCTTGCCGTAGAGAGGGCGTGCGATGAAGCAAAGGCCAGCTGATTAAGAGAGTAATTAGTAGTTGTAATAGTAGCCACGCCACACCACTTTACAGGTTCAGCTACAGTTGATTAGGTGCATGTGAAACGGAAGGCATGTAAATAGTTTCAGCTTTCGGTGCGTAGTGTAGTGCAGCGGCAACGAGTTGATAGCGAGGAATCTTCTCCTCCTCCTAGATTGGACGCCTCGCCTTAGCTTGTCTCGGAAGCAAAGTTGGGGACTGCAACCACCACCATGCATGCATCTACTGTACTATAGTACTACTACCACTGGTCAAGTCGCCGCTCCTAATTGATCACATGTTGTTTTCTCAAATAAATGTGTCTCTTTCTTTAGCCACGCCCGCCGCCTGTAATTTGTTCATCTTTTAAAAGATAAGGTATCAGCTCCTTAATTTGTTCTCTGACTAACATGTTCGAGTGCACATGTACCGTGTTCCTTACCGTGATTAATTAACTGGTGACTGCATTCTGGAAAAAAAACCTCAAAAAATAAATTCGGGAAAAAAAAATCTGATGACTGACCTACGGGCTATCGATCTCAGCCGTTGAGGCGTGTATAGAATGTAGATATGTGGGGCCCACGAGGAGCTCGATTGACACATGTGCCATGACGACCCGCTGACGTACGGCAGGTCAAAGTCACAACTGTCGTCTAAACCGAGACTGGGAAAAGTCCAACCCAACTCGAGTTAGCTTAGTTAATCAGCTAAACTAACCATGCTTAATGTTTTGCCTCCTTGCACACGCAAGTCTTTCAGTGTGGTCAAGCTTTCACGCGTAGAGGGGTGGATCGGTAAATGCATGTGTGGTATCGTTATCTACTTATTAAATTTTTTGGAGCAGATAATGAACGTCGTATCCAGCCGCCCGGGCTTTTGCTTGCCGAGGGTGGAGGGCTGGAATGTGACGTGTTGAGGAAGCCACGGAACACGTTTGCTCCTATATACTTGATACTTGTTGAAAATATGAGTAAATTACTACGAGATTTAATCCGAATGAACATAAGATAAATCATGACAGCAATAGCAGATATTAAACTAGTCATGCGAACTAGCATAGTAGATGAACAGATTGACGGGATGGAGAAGACTTGCTTGACGGCGCAATGATCTGGAACGGTGATGAGAAACCATACGAAGCGGCGGCGGCTAGGGTAGACGTCTGGCAAGGCGAGCGAGGAGGAGGAGCGCGCGTGTAGGTCTCCTCTTCTCATGCTCATACAAGTGGTAGAAGAACTCACCTTATAAAAAGGTGCAACTCTCTCAACTTTCGAGGTGGGACTAAACTTTAGTCTCACTCACTGCACTCACATGTGTGCATGAATGGATCAAGAGAATTCAGAATTTTAGTTGGGCTTTGGACCAAAGACCTACTAGCAAAATTTCAACAATACTTTCCTAGTAGTTTTTCTTAATACAATTCAGACGTAAATGCTCATATAAATGTATACATATTGAACGTGAAATCTAAGATTTTAACTCTGATGAGCTGAATATATCACTGCCCTTCTAATCATTCAACAACAAGTTGGTTTGCAGCTCCTTCTAGTTGTATTTGTCTTAGTTTTGGATTAAGCAGCTGCCCTCCCGACAAGGAGAGCGTGAGTATATGTGCGGCGACATGCCCAAATGTTTTGTGTCTCAGCCAGCGCTTGCTAGCAACCTGGCATGGTGTGGCCTGCCCGTGTTACATTGACAGGGAGATACATATGCATGTGCCCTGCCATCTGTACAGCGGTGCGTGCTTGAGTTTTTCTTAAAAATAATACCCCTTTATTCAAAAATATTTGTCGAAGAAATGAATAAAAATAAATGTATTTAAAATTAAAATACATCTAGATACATTCATTCCCTCGATAAGTAATTTTGGACGAAGGAAATAAGTACTCCCTCCGTTCTAAATTACTCGTCGTGGTTTTAGTTCAAACGGAGGGAGTAATAAGTACAGCTTGAGTGATGAACTGACGTTGGTTTTTCTGGAGTACATATGCTTACTCAACTTTATGTATTGGAAGTTAAATTTGTTTTTTCATTTTAAAATTCGGCTAAAAATTCCAGATTTTTCCCTTTTTTGAAAGAAGACTTTTTGCCATGTGCCGTTACAAGTCCCAAAAGTTACCGTGTTTTGCACTACATCATCCCTTCCACTCAGGGGTCACAACAACTTAGGTAGAGGTAATAGTCTTCAGGAGACGAAGTTGCATAAAACCAGCACATTTGGTGCTAAGGTAACCGATTGGTGCCATATTTAGAAACAATCACATTACACCACCAGTTTTAGACTTGCATGTAACAAATCACACTGATTCTCTCATAAGCTCGATTTGTTACACACGTGCCTAAAAAATGGTGTTGCGGTGTGATTTGCTCCAAATGTAGTACCAATCGGTTACCCTAGCCCTAAATATGACGGTTTTATGGTAATTACCTCTATCCGTAAAGACCATACTGGTTGCAGTTTGTGGTGGCATACAGATTTGCAGTGGAAACATATGATCTTCCTAGTTTCTAGCCGAAAATGGTTTGTGAGACGCAACCTGAGGAAGCTCCTCCCAAGTTGGACTACATCCAGTCTATACATGTTTTGTACAACTATCATCGCTTTCCTCTGTTTTCTCTCGTGAAACCAGCACTTGCCATCATCTAGGACCGGATAGCTCAATTGGCTCTATTATGAAGGACGATGAGTCGTGAGGATCCCCATGTCTCACAGAGAAACTGCAAGAGCCTCCATAAGGCAGCAGCGCTTCTCTATTCAAGTCCACACCATTCTCCGCCAGCGTCACATTAGATTCAAGGGCCTGGAGAACTTCTGACATCTTGGGCCGCAGAATAGGGTTGGTCAGCGTGCACTGGAGAATCACGTCGACTGCACACTCTAGCTCGGCTACATCGAACAAATCTTTGAGATCCCTGTCCACTAGTTTATCCAGTTTCTTTTCCTCATTGAGCTCTCTAACCTGCACAGGATTAAAATTTTGACATCGGGTGATAAACAGAGTATACCACGAATTCCATGTAAATGGCAGGAGCGCTGCCTAGCATTATACTAAACGAACGTGTTATCCACAAAAATCCGATGTGCCTGCTTATGCCAGGAAATCAACTAGGCCTTTGCTAAGCATTGTAGTATTAAGGATTTGCCAATAAACTTATTTCATCACCAACTACGAATCTATGATGATACAAAGGAAAAAGAAGTTTTTTGTTTTAGATCTTCCCTATTCATGTTAGCTAAACTTTGTTGGAAATGGTCGTCAAATTACTCCAGGTTATGCCATCAATTATAGTACGTAAAGATTGAGCAAAAGAAGTTACCCAATCTATAATCATCCCCTTCTGGGACTGACCATGTCCGTTGCTCAAGGTTTTAGGTCCAGTGATCAGTTCCAACAGCAGAATACCAAACCCATAAACGTCGGTCTTTTCTGAAGACTGCCCTGTTGAGAGATACTCTGGAGCAATATGACCAACAGTTCCCCGAACTGCAGTAGTAACATGCGAATCTTGTCGGTCAAGTAGTTTTGCCAATCCAAAATCCCCAACGACTGCTTCAAAACTTCCATCAAGCAATATGTTTGCCGCTTTGACATCCCTGTGAATGATCTTAGGATTGCATTGTTCATGAAGATATAGTAGTCCTCTGGCAGCCCCAATAGCAATCTGCATACGTTTACTCCAATCAAGACAAGGTTTTCCATGATGATACTCTGCAAAAAGTTCGCTTTACATTAGAAAGAGAAGGAGGTAGAAAACAAGGGAATAATAGAATAGCAAAACACAGGGCAAAAAAAGTATTACCTCCGTTCGGAAATGACTGACGTGGTTTTAGTTCAAATTTGAACTAAAACCACATCAGTTATTTCCAAACGGAGGGAGTAATTCTTAGTAAGGAAAACATAGACTTCTATTAGAAAAATAAAATCTTGTGGACGTATGAAAGGTTACCTCTCAAGCGGTCAGCAACACTGCCATTTGGCATATATGGATATACGAGCAACCTTTCTTTCGAGGTCATGCAAAATCCATACAAGCGCAAAAGGTTCCTGTGCACAGCTAGGCCAATCAACTCAAGTTCTGTCTGGAATTGGACTTCACCAGTAACATCGGGATCTTTTAACCTCTTGACTGCCACTAAAGTTCCATTTCTGAGACAGCCTTTATAAACAACACCAAAACCGCCTTGGCCTAATATATTCTTTGAGTTAAAATTGTCTGTTGCACTTTGCAGGCCGTGAAATGAAAAATGCTTCAGATGACCCAGTTCCATTTCAAGATCTTGATCTATAGTTGAATAAATAAGTGGTCATCAAATCATGTATTTCCGATAGTAAGGTTATAGATGATTAGCTAATTACCAGAAGAAGCAAAAGGCAAATGCCATCTGCAGTAGTTTAGCCAGCATACAAAGAACAGAACAAAGATTGTGGCACATGTGACACTTAAGGAAATCGCCAATGCTAATTGATGATGGTTCTTCGTTTTATTCGATGGTCTAGACACTGTATCTGTAGTCAAAGGTAAGTTAGTTGCACGCCCAAAAAGGTAAGTTAGTTCAAAAAGGTGCACTTGTAGAGTTGTAGTAAAGATTAAAAAACAGATGATAGGTAAAAACATTACCGTTAGTTCCTCCATTAAGATGTGTGCAGCCATGTAGAATTGAGGAATTGCAAAGGAACTTGTTTCCCACGAGACTGGAAAGCATAGGTACAGTAATATTCAGTGAAGTATTGAAATAGAAAGGAAAGGATGATGTGCGTATGACTACGGCGAGTTTTAGCATATGAAGGATGACACAAGCACTACTTCACAGTTATGCAAAGAACTTGGATGAGCAAATGGAGCTAAATAAAAAAATGGAGCATATTATACATACTCTCGTACCCACTTACCTGTAGTCATGTGCATAGATTTTTGGAACTGTACCACTTAAATTGTTGAATGATATGTCACTGAAACATATTTCCCACGTCAGTTTGAACATCAAGAATCACATTTAGCCACACCATTTATCAGAAAAGGAATACACATGTAACTGGAGACATACAGGAATGTGAGACCTGGAAGCTTCGCAACATCTATAGGGATCTGTCCAGACAAGTTATTCTTATCAAGGCGCCTGAAAGATTTGCAAAGCAACAGTCATCAAGAAATTAGTTGTCAAACTGTGTGTCTGCTCAGGCTAGTAATTTTAAGAAAAGATAGCAAACATTTTTGTAACATGTATTGCATACGAAAATGTGAATTACTTAGAAATATAAGAAAACCATACAAATAGGTAACTGCAAATATTGCTAGTACAAACATACAACAATTTCACTTAGTTGACGTGGCCCACGGGCAAAAGAGGAACAATATATCTAGAGTTCTAGACATAATTCCAAATATGGTTCATGTGCATGTATGACTGTTGTGTTACAATTGTATGCATGCTTTTTCCAAACAGTGACATAGCTCCAAAAAAAAATATTTGTACACATTGTGTCATCAAGCTTGTACGACTTTGCTAGCTTTATACTCGGAATTAGTTCAATAGATTAGTATCGCAGGTGTAGTGGTTATTGCTTAATTCTACATGGTCTATCTGACATTGTATGACCAGACTTAATTAGAATTCATCATATGTGTTGTATTCACAACAGAGGAGTTTTCGTTTCTTGGGCAGGCATACACAACAAACTTAATCAGAATTCACCTGTAACATATGCATGTAAATCTAACAGACACAGTGATGCTTTAGAGAGCAAGACATAAATAATCCAAATAGATAGATTGTCAATTTGAGGTAATAGATTAGCATATACTTACAAATAATTTAGTTGAGTAAGCTGCCCCAGTGAATTCGGGATTTCACCAATAAACTGGTTACCTGAAAGATCAAGAGCTTTCAGATTGGCCAGCTTCCCTATCTCTGGAGGAATTTCACCAGATATTCTGTTATTCTGTAGTAACCTGAAGTGGGGCAAGAGAAGAAAAAAAGGTTGAGCAACAAAGCATTGGTAGTAAATTTCGTTTTCAGTGCGACAGATGGAAGTCAGTGAAACAAGATCTACAAACAGTACAGTAGAAAGAATACAATCTCATGACTGAGAGAGCACAAGTATAATAAATATGATGCATACAATGCGCATAAGGTCATGTTCATATAAGTAGGGTGAACACAGTATGATGGGTACAATAAGGAATAGAAAGTATTGCTGGACGTTTGCCGTCAATCGTACAAAGTAAGCTTGATTTTTTTAATTTTTTTGCGAATAGAAAGTAAGCTTGATTTAGCTGTGTTGAGTTCTGAAAGAATATGGCACGCCCAATAACACCCATTCTTGTCAAATAAAGAAAAGAAATTTTGTTCAGGAGGGGTTGTACCGCCTGTGATCTCTCAGCATTATTCTATTCACCAGTTCTTGTCCTGGCCTTGAGAGTTTGCACGCATCATAAATTCAACTAAAGGCAAGACTTGCATTGTATAGTTCCTACCTTCAGCTCCCTAACTATCCCGATACTGATCAGGCACTGACGGAATCGCCTAAACAGTAATTTTGTTTGCTGGGTGGGGAGAAAGAGCTTTATTACTCCCTGGCCTCTGCAACCTAAACAGCAGTTGTGCTTCAAATTTTCCAACGGCTAGACACACAAGCACGAACCTCCTCATCTTGAAGCAATTCGGCTCGATAGCTACAAACTTGAAACGGTGTTGCAAGACACACCGTGTCAAATGAACTAAGGAAACAGGAACTGTGATCGGGTTGGTGAGTTCGTTTCCAAGGCCTTACATTGTCTGCAGGTAACTGAGGTTCCCGATGCTCGGCGACAGAGCCCCCGACAATCCGTTGTTAGCCATCTGCCTGCGCTCCAGCATCCAAACAAAACAGCACGGCATCACCAACAACAGCAAAGCAACGACGACAGAAGGAGCATCCGCGCAGGCGCAGTCCGACAACAAGACAACAAATCAGGGAGCGAGATCTCACAGCGAGACGACGAATCCGTCGGGGGAGCAGGCGACCATTGACCAGGTGCAGGGGTCGACGGAGTTGATGTCCCACCCGGCCATCACCCCCTTCTCGTCCCGCATCCGGCTCTTCACCGCCATCAGCGCCGCCACTGAAACGCCGCACAAAGCGCACCGAGCACAGTTAACACGAGAACATCCTCCACGCAGTACCAAATCCCCAAACCCTAACCCAGCCGCCCCAGCCAACGCCGGCCGCAAGCGGGCACCCACCTTCATAGTTGAGACCTTTGGGTGAGAGCGGCGGGTCCCCGGCCGCTACACCAGCAGCGGCGAGGAGCCACGCGGTGGCCACCACCACCACGGCGCCAGCGCCGGCGGCGAAGGTTAGTCTCGCCATGGCAAGTGGGGGCGTGACTGAGAGCGTCTCTGCACGGGCTCCGTGGCCATGGGTGCTGCTGTTATCGAGCGCAGTGCGTGCGCCGGGGACTAGATTAGGGTCGACATAAATCTTAATTAATGCGAGTTGGTCTGAAAAATTGGGAATCTTAATTAATTAAGAAAGGGAGAGGCTAACTGGGCCTTAATTGCTGAGCCCGTAGAATGGAGTGGAGAGACGGGTGGCTCTCGAGGCTCCGGAATTTGTGCCCAGTGTTTGGTTTCAGACTTTCAGTTCTGTTTGATTGGTTTTTTTAGAGTAAAACGAGATTGAAATTTGAAAGTCCCGGTTTGTGTATACTCTACTAGTGTAAAAAACGCTCTTATATTATGGAACGGAGAGATTACATCTGAAAGGAGATGAAAATAAGAGGTGCTTGTTCAAAGTCACCCCCTCACAATAAGTGTCTGTTAACGATAAAGAGAGAAGAGACATGACTCTTTAGGATTGGACACACCCCTTACTAATGACGGCTAAACATGTGCTAATTGCCTAATTTATTTCCTAATAGTTTTCACTTCTAGAGATGCAAGAGGGTGGCAACCCACCGCCCACCCAGATAGTCACACATGCATGATAGATGTGCGATATATCAGTTTTCATTTCAAAATTAATTTGTATTATTCATGGACAGGTGAGGCTCATCTATCTATGACTCTATTTAAGGCTTTCTTGTGTAATTTAGCAAGGGTGTTTTCTATTAAAAAAAGGCATGTGTAGGGCACCCATCGTCACCCACTAATAGATGGGCCTCCGCCACACATGCATGGAGTCATGTTCATCGAGAGGGGTGTGGTGTATCGTAAAACGGACGAAACAGAGTTCTGTTCAACCGCCTACAATAGAAAAGAGGCCATGTTCATCGGCGAGGTGTGGCGTACTACGGTCTCCACGGGCTACTGTTCATCCACCAACAATTTCCTACCGCCCCTCCATGGGCTACTGTTCATCCGCCAACTGCCTACGGCCTCCACAGAGTTCTGTCCATCCATCCCCACCCGGCTGAGGTGTGGCGTACCGTGGCATGCCCTCCTCTGGATCATGCATGTTCATCAAGCGCCAATCGCCTACTACCACAGGGTTATGTTCATCCAACCCCAACGGTTGTGGTGGGGCGTACTCGCGCGGTAGCAACGGGGGTTGTTCATCCACAGGCAAAAGGCTAGGTCAACACGTCTCATGCAAGGTGTTGGATTCGATGCAACCGGATGCTTGGTCTTGACTCGATCTACGTATCACGCGCGCGGTAGCTAGCAACAGGGACTGTTCATCAAGAAGCAACCAACCAGCTAGGTCAACTCACGTCTCGCGCTGGGGGCTCGATACAATGCATCGATTGGGCCAGCAAACAACATATGTGCACGATTCTCGCTCGCATCGATCGGGTTCAGTAAGCAGCGAAGGGATCGCTCGGGTTCAGTTAACAACGAAGGAACCGCTTGGGTTCGGTTAGCAGCGAAGGGATCGATGTTGGAAATATGCCCTAGAGGCAATAGTGTTGCATTATTATATTTGCATTTTCATATTAAGACTATATATTTCATGTTATAACTGTTATGGTCTTGGAATATGCGATTTAGTGGAAATATCATATGTACGTGTAGAATGATAAACGGTAAAAGAATAGGTTCTCGGTCTTGCCTTTGAGACTGGCTCAAGTGTTGTTGGTGATCATGTTTTCCGGATCTTAGGATATCGTTAAGTGTAAACGATAGTGCTAAAACAACATTGAGAGTGTGACGTTAGTAGAACGACCATATTGAATCAACCTAATATCATTTGTTATACTTTGAGATAATATCGCCTAAAATCAATTGTTACAACATGGAGTGTTACCATGTATTTTAGTTTCTTAAACCATGAAAGTATCTTAATCACTTTCTATTGTACGGTTGACTTTGGGGTTGCTCAAACATTATCTATAACTAGGTGATCATAACCACACCTTACGCGTTCAACAAAAAGTTTGACAAGTGACTAAGGGCCTGTTCGGCAGCTCTCCGCTCCTGTAACGCCCCAAGACCGGAGATTCAGATGCCTTCCATGGTTTCTGAGATTCATCATGTGATTTGTTTTGCTTGTTGCATTCCTCTTTGCATCATGTGCCTTGCATCATGTCATCATGCCATCATGCCATTTCATTTTTTTAAACTCAACTAAATAAAATGCATAGATATTTGATCTATTTAAATTGAGGGAACTCACATGGTGATTTCTCTATATAACCTATCCTCCCAATATATTAGGGAGCTATAATAAATATTCCATTCTTTTGGAATTAACCATAGCACACTTGCATTTTAGTTCCATGCCTCTTCTGCTTCAAGTTTCACCTCCAAACCTTGCCGATATTTGTTTCTCCTTTTATCGAGGGTCCTCCAAAATCCTCAACATTTTTGCACACCCCTATAGCCTAGCCTCCATTCAAACTCCTTTGGCTCAAGTCAAATAAGTTTGAATTTAAATTCTCCTAACTTGTTGAAACCACTTTTTTTGGGGTGGAAATATTCCTTTAAGCCATATAAAAATGTCCCATAATTTTTTCCTTCTTCATGGCCTCTTCTCTTAATTCTTTTGGCCTATCTCTTTTGCTGGAAAGAGAATTTAAGAGAGAGAAGAGAGAGAGATAGCAGCTGCCAGCCAATCCTTCCCCACGGCCTCTCTAGGCCCAATCCTTCCCCGTGGCCCACCTAGGCCCAGCCGGCTTCTAACCCCTAGGCCCAGCCTGTGCCCTCCTAACCCTAGCCTCTAGGGAGCCCATTCCCTCTCTCGTTCTCTCCCTCATTCCCTCGTTCCCTCACCGCCGCCATAAAGCCAGCTCCTTCGCCCGATCCCCATCTCCACCCTCTCCTCTTCGCCCTCCTCTTGCGCTACCACATGTAGAGATGAGCAGGTCATCGTGGCTGCGCCTGATCCTCAACCCCTGCGTCTCTCCATCGCGGCCTCTCCTCCCTAGCCGCGCCTTCCTCTCGCGCCGCCGCAGTTCCAGGCCGGCCTACCCCGCCATTGCTGTTGGGGAACGTAGAAGAAATTCAAAATTTTCCTACGTGTCACCAAGATCTATCTATGGAGAGACCAGCAACAAGGGGAAGGAGAGTGCATCTACATACCCTTGTAGATCGCTAAGCGGAAGCGTTCAAGAGAACGGGGTTGAAGGAGTCGTACTCGTCGTGATCCAAATCACCGGAGATCCTAGTGCCGAACAGATGGCACCTCCGCGTTCAACACACGTACAGCCCGGTGACGTCTCCCATGCCTTGATCCAGCAAGGAGAGAGGGAGAGGTTGAGGAAGACTCCATCCAGCAGCAGCACAACGGCGTGGTGGTGGTGGAGGAGCGTGGTGATCCAGCAGGGCTTCGCCAAGCACCGCGAGATATGAGGAGAAAGAGAGGTAGGGCTGCGCCAGGGAGAGGTCAAAAACTCATGTTGCTTGGGCAGCCCAAACCTCAAGTATATATAGGGGAAGGGGAGGGGCTGCGCCCCCACCTAGGGTTCCCTCCCTAGGGGTGGCGGCAGCCCCCAGATCCCATCTGGGTGGCGGCCAGGGGAGGGGAGAGGGAGGCACACCAGGCATGGGCCCTAAGGCCCATCTGCCCTTAGGGTTTGCCCCCCCTCCTCCCCTTAGGCGCCTTGGGCCCTTGTGGGGGGGCGCACCAGCCCACTTGGGGCTGGTCCCCTCCCACACTTGGCCCATGCAGCCCTCCGGGGCTTGTGGCCCCACTTGGTGGACCCCGGGACCCTCCCGGTGGTCCCGGTACGTTACCGATAAAACCCGAAACTTTTCCGGTGACCAAAACAGGACTTCCCATATATAAATCTTTACCTCCGGACCATTCCGGAACTCCTCGTGACGTCCGGTATCTCATTCGGGACTCCGAACAACATTCGGTAACCACATACAAACTTCCTTTATAACCCTAGCATCATCGAACCTTAAGTGTGTAGACCCTACGGGTTTGGGAACCATGCAGACATGACCGAGATAACTCTCCAGTCAATAACCAACAGCGGGATCTGGATACCCATGTTGGCTCCCACATGTTCCACGATGATCTCATCGGATGAACCACGATGTCGAGGATTCAATCAATCATGTATACAATTCCCTTTGTCTATCGGTATGATACTTGCCCGAGATTCGATCATCGGTATCCCGATACCTTGTTCAATCTCGTTACCGGCAAGTCTCTTTACTCGTTCCGTAACACATCATCCCGTGATCAACTCCTTGATCACATTGTGCACATTATGATGATGTCCTACCGAGTGGGCCCAGAGATACCTCTCCGTTTACACGCAGTGACAAATCCTAGTCTCGATTCGTGCCAACCCAACAGACACTTTCGGAGATACCTGTAGTGTACCTTTATAGCCACCCAGTTACGTTGTGACGTTTGGCACACCCAAAGCACTCCTACGGTATCCGGGAGTTGCACAATCTCATGGTCTAAGGAAATGATACTTGACATTAGAAAAGCTTTAGCAAACGAACTACACAATCTTGTGCTAGGCTTAGGATTGGGTCTTGTCCATCACATCATTCTCCTAATGATGTGATCCCATTATCAACGACATCCAATGTCCATGGTCAGGAAACCTTAACCATCTATTGATCAACGAGCCAGTCAACTAGAGGCTTACTAGGGACATGGTGTTGTCTATGTATCCACACATGTATCTGAGTTTCCTATCAATACAATTCTAGCATGGATAATAAACGATTATCATGAACAAGAAAATATAATAATAACCAATTTATTATTGCCTCTAGGGCATATTTCCAACAATCACGACCCCGCATCCCCGCCGGCTCTCGTTGCCCCTGCCTCGACGTCTGCTTCACCTCCCCATGCTCCAGTCGCGCCGACGTTCGGAGCTCCAAGTCCACCACCGGACCCGCTGAAGCTATTGCCTTGCCTCAGCGACCTCCTCTAGTCGCGCGCCCCTGCTCCCTTCTCCT